ACATCTTGATTGTATGTTCAGCCACTTTCAGACTGCAAGACTTGATAAAAATTTTCTATTTTCTGGTAGTCAGAAAGAGCACGACATTTGTTCTTTTAAATGCTGTATGTTCAAGTGACAGCAGGTTCTTAGTTTAAAATGGATGCATTAGGAAAGCACACCACAATCTGGAATTTTGCTGAGGCTCAAAGTTGAGCCACATGAAACTGGGGTATCAGGCACTGGTTCTTAGCCAGGAACATGAGCTCAATGACAGCTCAGTGTCCACTTCCCAGCGTGGCTACTCTGCCCTCCTGCAAATGTTTGTAAGATGTTGGTCTCAGGGCACATTTCTTCTTAGTGTCAAGGGCATGCTGTACAGAGGTCATTCAACAACGCACCAGACTATTTAGACTACAAGTGAGTAGCCAACTCATTAGACTCACTTTCTAGATTTCAAAGGAAAGTAATTCCTGCTTTCACTGCACATAGACTCTGGCAACAGACCCAAGTCTGAATTTGGGTTCTGTATCTACTTCTCCCTCAGTTTTTGTTTTCCTTTGTAAGAAAGGGATATCCACTTTTGTAAATATATAAGCTAGTGAATATGATTTACCTATCTTCCTTCCTTTCCCCCCCCCATGCTAAGAGCTTTTTGTCCTTTCCATGAGCAAAGGGTGGGCCTGAATTCTCTGACTCCTTTCCTGCTTCCTACCTCCTTGGAGCTGGACAACTTGAGATGATCTCAGAATGTCCCCAGTAAGGTTCAGGATACCCCAGAATAGGACAGAGGTGTCCTCCCAGTGAAATGCTGACTGTCTGGCAAGGATATTTGCCATTTCAGCTGTGCTCTTTGTGTGTGACAATTTAATGCTTGTTCACCCTTCTCAACTCCAAAGAAGTTGGAGAGTTGTTAAGCAGAGAGCACTGGCACATCCTTCATATTTTCTGGCCTTGTAAACGGGTCTGAGGCCTTTCCCATGGGTGGTGGAAACATAAAAACATTCTGTCAGAAGAACAGATCTATGTCCACCTTAAGTCCCTCTAGCTCATACCATTTATATAATCCAAATGAAGTGAACAAGAAGTGTTAAAGGTTAACTTGAAACAAAACCAAGTGCTTTAATAGTAAACTTTAAGCTAGGTCTTTAAAAGGAACAATTATGTAAGTGTCAGTGAGGCTAGGTGCACATGGAATTTGTCTTTGAGGCCCTGAATCTTCTAGGAAAAAGGCAGAAACCATCTATGTCATTGTGACAGTGCACTCTCTTGTGTTTTAGGTTTTTTTTGCCTTTGCCAAAATACTATTTTATTTTCAAAGTCATTTGAAAGACTCTAAGTAAGGAGCTCTATCACACACCAGGCACAGATTCCAAACCCACATTCCTCCAGCCCCCAGCATGGGCCTCTGTCAGGATAAAAAGTTGCTTTTTTTGTAATTCTTGGCTTTTACTTCATGAAGATCAGATCTTTTCCCATAAACCATCTTCATTTTTTTTGTAGAGTAGAGCTTTATTTTCAGGAAACAGTGCATTAGTTGGGTATGGGTATTTTTTTAAGAACTGCAAGGTGGATCTGATGTGTTGCACGAAGTGAGTGGGCTCGGCCAGCTGCAACCAGACATCCACACGTGGAAAAGGCATCCAGGAGTATGGTCCTATGTGAAGTGGCTCTGTCTCTGCATCATAAGTCATTGGTCCTCCCGTCAGAGCCCGGGCAGCACGCAGATTCTCCTCTGGCCCTCGGTCTTGGAGGGAAGCTCTGTAAATCTGTGCAGTTTTTATGTTGACAGCAGTGCCATACATTATTGGAAAATGGCTTTAATTTACTTCCTGGTCATTTAATCTGTCACACATAATGTCACTAAGTGGATGTCGTCTTCCTGTCTGTCAAATGCACTGAGAAGTTGCTGAATGAGTTTTTGTTACAATGGCCTGTCATCACTGAAGCCACCCACCAGGTGCTCTTCCAGCATGCCGTATTTCGTGGGCTCAGAAAGGGATTTTATGGAGTTTATATGATCAAGGGGACTTCGGCTTTGGTGTCGGATGCATCACAGTGTGTCAAGCAGGTGGTCCCATTACCTGTGTGCCTCGGGACCACAATGTGACAAGTGGTGGCATCATCAGAACCCACAATGGAGATGGAGCCATCCTTTGGGGAAGCCACTTCAAACTCTCTCTGCTGAACATACAGAAGGCCTTGGGGGTCCCACTTGTTGAACAGACTGACCTCTGAGAAGACTGGCTCTTTCCTCCAGAGTCGGATGGGCACGGACGAGGACTCCGACAAGGTGGGGCAGCAGAACTCGCTGTCCCTCAACCAGCAGGGCCGCTCCTCCGGACTGGCCTGTGTTTTAGTTTTAAGAACCTCAAACACAGAAACATCCTCGGAGCCATGGCCAGGCAAACAGGCCTTCACTGAGATTGCACTAACGCTGATGCCAGAATGACTACTTTGTCTCACACTCACTATCAAGCGATCTGGCAGTTATATGGTACCATTCCAGTCGACACTGAGAAGCAGCAGAGGGCTAGCAGCATGAAGTTTGTTGTTAAAGGCCAAATAAGTGACAAGACTGGGATTTGAACACAAGTCTCTCTCCTTTGTTCACATCTCTACAAGTTTCTCAGTTTCCATCTAAGAAAATATAAGGGCTAAGGTCCTTATTCCCACATGCCCCTACCAAACTAAATCTGCACCAGGATTGCGTGAGGGTAAACTGTATGTGCATACTATTTCCCAACTTGAGAGCACTTGTAGACACTGTGTCCTCGTGCTCCTTAATACAGATTTCCTAAAACCAAAGCCATTTACTTCCTCAAGCTCACATAACTATCAAATACAAGCAATTTAACACAGACACATTATTGTTGTGTACTGTCGAGGGGAACTGATCCACAGCTGACCCTCAGAGCAGGAAATCACCTGGGAGGAGTCTGCTCATCTTCCTCCTCGGAGTTACATCTGAGGGCTGTGGGATCGTGGCACGGCTTCTTACCGCCAGGCCACTACGACTCCCTGAGTGTAGACAGAATAATCCCAAAACCTACCGCCTGTGAGTCAGCTCCGGTGCAGAGCAATCCACTAACACAGAGCGGAACCACACGAGGGGTTTCCCCAGCTGGGAATAGGTTTTCTTTAAATTTTACTTATGTTGTTTGAGAATGCAACAGCAAAATCTACATCAACAGTCTCTGTGTGTACAGTTTAGTTACGTGGACTCCATTCTTCAGGTTGCACAACCATTCTCACCCTCTTTTTCTGGAGGGCTGTAAATCTAGGGAAGCTTTTTTCTCCCATGAAACAGCTGGGGGGTTCAAACTGCTGACCTTTTGGTTAACAGCTAAGTGCTTTAAGTAAGGCATCACCAGAACTCCTAGAAATATTTTTATTACTGCTTGATTAAAATATCACCAGCTGTTCTAATCATGTCTACTGTTGTGTGTTCTTCTCCTTGGGTTGGGATCTAATTCAGCCTCATGTATTCTATTTAGCATGGCTGTACCCATCGAGTCAGCTCTGCTGTGGTTCTCTGCCCCACAGGATGGAACCCTGCCTGTATGTTAGTCCCTAAGGCTGCAACAGTGACAGACTTGGCCCTCCCTCGTCGTTAGGACTCTGACACTTGTGAAGAGGACAGGCTGGTTACTTCGTGGAGGTCTGGCAGTTTGAGCTTGCCTGATGTTCCCTGTGATTAGACTCAGTTACACATTTTTGGCAAGAACACGGTATCTGAAGACCCAACAGATGAACTCTGATAGAACAGGAGAGAACAAGGCACAAGTGAAATCCATGAAGAGTTCAGGCTAAATAAGACCAGTTGAGACTAGTGGACTCCTTGAGACTAATGAGTTGCTCTTTAAACTTTGAACTAAAACTCTCCTGAGGGAATCTTTTGTGAAATAACAGCTTGGCACACAAAGGATTTGACCCATGAGTGTGGGTGTACCATTAAAAACACCATCTATATGGGACTCAGAAGTCAGTATTTAAAGATTGGAAACAGAACAGAATGTAGTTAAAGAGAGAATGCTGACATGCTGAAAAATGTGGATAATGCCATTGAATATTTTTTATAGAAATCATCAAATGGGGACATAATTTGCTGCATAAACTTTCACTGGAAACATAGCAAGATATTATTATTTTTTTTTTTAAAGAAAGAACGAAAGTAAGTATACGACCTGAATTTGTGGTGTATCCCTGTCAGTTCATCACATCAGGGACTTGTTAGGTTCTTCCCTGATGAAATGGCTATTTCATCTTTTGTCATTAAGAAGTATCTCAGTTCTTTGGTTTTCTCCAGGGTGCCAGCCAACCCATGGCTAATACAATCCCTTTCATTTGAAAGGTCCAGCCCATCAGCACCCTTGCCAGTAATCACATTCTTTGTGGTAAACTGACCTAACTTTCCCAGGTCTTCCTTGCTTATTGGCTGTGTATGAGATCTGAGCTTCGAAGATCCATTCTCACAGATTTTTTTTTAATCTTACATCTCTTGCCAGATACACGTGTGCCTTACCAGCTCACTTGCTCAGTATCTGCCCCATGTTAACACACACTCCTAGTGTCCACTGCAATGATGGTACAGGCCACCACCGGGCACTGCATGATAACGACGCTTCTGCTTACCTGGATAAGTTACAGGAGGTAACTCAGTATTGCCAGCTTGATTAAAAACTCAGCAGTTCTTCTAACTGTAGCTATGTCATCCTCTAAAGTGAGGGTAGAGTACTGCTTTATGTGTTGTGCTTCAGCTGAAAGGTCAGTGGTTCAAATCCACCAACTTCTCCTTGGAGATTTACAGCCAGGGAAACCCACTGGAGGGTCACCAGGAGTTAGAGCTGACTCCATGGCAAGTGGGTGTATGCCATTCTTTGTCCTTAATAAGTTACAAAGTCAAGGAATAATACTTTACCTAAGCTAACAAATGAGAATCTCCTGAATGGCTAGAATTTCTAGTTACATCCATGGAGAGACCTCCCACAGGATGGCATTTGTGAACAAACGCCCCTTACCTCTTAACACGTGCTGGTAACTGGACAACAGAAACTGCAGATGCTCAACCAGCTCATCCCAAGTCTGCCACTGGGTCTTGTCCGACTGTGGAGACAGTGAGAGCAGCTGATGACAGATGCCTTCTCCAGGTAGCAGTTTTATATGTTTTTAAAGTACATAACGTTCAAACAGCAGCGTGTTAAGCAAAACAACTGTGAGCAGGATGAGGGGAAATGTGCGTAGGAACAGCCATACCTGGCACTTGAGCAGGGACGTAGAATGGTTGAGGAAGTAAAGGGCCTGCGCCAGAGACAAGGGCAGGCGCGTGGGTGTCTCGCAGCTGTGGAGGAAGATGATCTCTAACACCTTGCAGCGCAGAAGGTGGCTCTCCATGGTGGTAAAGAACATCTCTCTGTGACAGGGGAGGGGAAAGGGAGTGAGTACCTGCAAAATGTAATTTCATAGAAAAGTGCACCATAGTTTCTCCTGAATGTCTTTACATTTGCTTAAAAAAATGATGATGAAGAGAGAGATTAAAAGACGAGCCTCTTCAAAATCACAACTCGTGGATAAGGTAGGAAGAGATCTGAAAACTGTCTAAAGGTCCCCACTCGATCTTCCCATATCCTTTACCCCCACCTCCCTCCACCCACCAAATTTGTGACTCTATGATTTGCCCCTGCCCCACTTCACCCCTCTGCTCCCACCTTCTCCCTCTTTGGATCAAGAGGGAGGAGGTTTTTGAAATTTGGAAGACAGAAGTTAAAAAGACATGATTATCCCAGAGGCACACGGTTCGAATCCACCAGATGCTCTGCCGGGGAAGGAGGGACAATCTCCTCCTGTACCAGTCAGATTTGATTTGACGGTACACTCACACAAAAAAATAAAAAAAAAAAAAAGGCATGATTAAAAAAATCCCTTATGTTGCAACTAAGAGGACAGTATTTCTTCCTGCTTATAAGGTGCTCACAGCTACCACCCACCCATCTGCGGAAGTTGTCTGTTGCTATGATGTCAAAGAGGTTTCAGTGAAGCTTCCAGACCAAGAAGGACTAGGAATAAAGGCCTAGAGGAAAGTCTGCTAACAAAAAGCAGACAATGAAGACATTACGGATCACAAAGGTTTCATCCCGTCGTGGATGAAATTGCCAAGAATTGAGGGCCAGTTCAATGGCAAGTAACAACAGTTTGGTATAACAAGGAATATTAAGTTAAATAAAAGAGATGATTGCTCTTAAGTAAATGCCTTTTTAACCTCATCCATAACTTGTTATGACCTACAGTGTTCAATGCTTTTGGATAAGCAATAAACATCTTTCTGTTACTCTGTTTTCAGCCGAGATCCATCTGACACTGGCAATGATATATCTCATATCATAGTCCCTTCTGAATCCAGCATGAATTTCTGCAAGTTCTTTGTCAATGTACTTGTCCACCTGATTCGTTGTTATGTGCCTCCAAGTCGCCTGTGACTCATAGAGACCCTGTGTAAAACAGTCCTAAACCCTGCTCTATCCTGTGCCAATCTTATTGTCTCTGACATACCTACCCCCATTATCCCACTCACTGAATCAATCCATCTCATCGAGGGTCTTCCTCTCCTCCACTGTCCCTCCACCCTCTCAAGCATGATATCCCCTCTCCAGGGACTGGTTCCTCCTTGTAACATGTCCAAGTATGTTAGACGAAGCCCCAGAATCCTTGCTTCCAAGGAGCAGCCTGGTTTAACCCTCTCCAGGATGAACCTGTTTGTTCCCTTAGCTGTCCATGGTATATCCAACACTTTTCTCTCAATATCAGAGCTCAAGATTTACATGTGATATTAATGATATTGTTTGACAATTTACATATTTGGTTGGTTCTGCTTTTCTTGGAATGGGAACAAATATGGACCTCTTCCAGTCAGTTGGCCTTCCAGATTTTTTGGCAAAGGCTAGTTAGACTATCCAGGGCTGTATCTGTTTGTTAAAGCATGCCAATTGGTATTCCATCAATTCCTGGGGTCTTATTTTTTTTTTTCAATGCCTTAAGTGGAGCTTGAACTTCTTCCATAATTACTCTTGGTTCTTGGTCATATGCTACTTCCTGAAATGGTTGAGTATTGAACAATCGGTATTCTGTGTATTCCTTCCATCTTCTTTTGATGTTCCCTACATTTTAAAAGATTTTGTTCACAGACTTTTTCAGTATTGTAATCATACTGAGAAGAATGGGATTTTCAGAAAACTTAGTTGTGCCCATGCAAAAATCTATATACATGAAGTAGTTGTTTGAACAAAGGAACACTGTATGATTTAAAGTCCAGGAAGATATGTGTCAGGGTTGTATCACTTTTCCTATTCAATATGTATGCTTAGCAAATAACATGAAAAGCCAGACTTCATGGCATCAGGATTGGAGGAAAACCATCAACAACTTGAGTTATACAGATGACACAACCTTGCTTGCAGAAAGTGAAGAACACTTGAAGGACTTACTGCAGACTATCAAAGACTACAGCCTTCACTAAGAGTTACATCTGAGCATCAAGGAAAAATAAAATTCCTCTCCACTGGATCAAAAGATAACATCATGATAGATGGAGAAAACACTGAAGATGACGATGATTTCGTTTTACTTAGAATTACAATCAACATGAGTAGTAAAAAAAAAGTAAACAAAGACATGGTGCATTGGAAAATCTGTCAGACACCACTCCCCATGCTAAAGAGCAAGGATGTCAGCTCAAAGACTAAGGTATTCCTGTCCAAAGCTCTAGTGTTTTCAGTTGTTTAATATACACCTAAAAGTTGGACAAGGAAAAAGGATGACAGAAGAATTGATGTCTTTGAATTGCAGTGTTGAAGATGAGTACAGAACGATCCCATGGACTGCCAAAAAAAACCAGTAAGTCTGTTTGTGAGTGTAACCTGCATGGTACCTAGAAGCAAAGATGGTGAAACTAAATATCATACACTTTGGATATATTTTCAGGAGGGGCCAGACATTGAAAAAAGTATTGTAGGACACCGACGCGCTCATCTGCTGGAGCCCGCTCACCCAGTTCAGAGCTAAAATCAGAAAAACCAGTGCCAAGTGCTGTTCTTCCCCAGGACTGCCTATTCCCTGCCTGTGCCCGATACTCATGGTGTTCCTGCCAGGGAAGCCGAGGACCCTACCCTCAGGTGAAGCATGTACTCCCTACCACTGCCTGGAGAGGGACCAGGTGGTAGATGCCACCACATACAAGACACAGATAGCAAGGCCAAAAACTCTCTGTTGTAGGCTCTGTGATGGAACCAAGCGTGCTGGTCCTCCACATTCCAGTCACAGGGCTCAGTCATTGTGTCCGACGCCTCGAAGAACTGCCACGTTGGCTGCAGAGGAAGGGAGACTCATCAGCCCTTCAGATGGTGCTTCAGTGACATAGTCACCTTGGACAGAACTCTAAAGGTCCATAATCCCAGAGCACCATTTAGATGTTAAAAAACCAGATTGGCTGGTGCCAGTTGCCATTACTGAAAATGGGCTCAGATTCCATCCAAGAATCACAGTCAAAGAAAGCAAGTGCACACTCCTCATCTTCTTGGTTTTGTAATGGAAACATTACAATATGGTGATTACTGAACAACATCATTAACATCACATGTAAACAAAATATTGCCGAAGATTTAAAAAACTACTAGAACATTGGCATAGAAATGAAGACATTCAAGCTCGATTTAGAAGAGCCTGTGGCACCAGGGATATCTTGCTAGATCGTGGCTGAACACAGAGAATACTAGAAAGATGTCTATGCTTTATTGACTGTGAAAAAAGAATTTGATTGTGTGGATTATAGCAAATTGTGGCTAATATTGAGAAGAATGGGAATCCCAGAACACTTGATGGTGCTTTTGTGAAACATATACCTGGACCAAGAATCTGTTACCCGAACAAGGAAGCAGTGTATGATTTAAAAACAAAAAAGATGGGCATCAGGAATGTGTCCTTTCTCCATATGTATTCCATTTGGATGCTAAACAAATACTTCGAGAAGCCAGACTTTATGAAGAATATAGGGTCAGGATTGGAGGCAGACTTATCAGTACCCTGAATTATACAGATGATACAACTTGGCTCACTTTAATGTGAGGAGGACTTAAAACATTTGCAAAAGACAATCAAAGACTGCAGCCTTCAATATGGATTACATGTCAACCTCAAGAAAATAGAAATCCTTACCACTGGACCAGTAAACAACTTCAGAATAAATGGAGAAAAGATTGAAATTGTTAACAGTTTCCTCTTGCTTGGATCCACAATCAACAACCTTGGTACCAGCAGTGAAGATAACAAGACTATTGCACTGGGAAAGTCTGCTGGAAGAACTTCTCTAAAGGGCTACAGACCGTAGTTGTCAGTTTAAGACTAAGGTGGTCCTGATTGAAGCCTTGGACTTATCCATTCCTTTCTGTGCTTCTGAAAATGGAACCAAGTACAAGGATGACAGAAGAAAAATAATAGATGCCTTTGAAGTGTGATGTTGGAGAAGAGTACTAAATATCCCATGAACTGCCAAAAGAACAATAAATAAAAAAAAAAAAAAGAAAAAAGTATTGTAATAGGTGGAGGGTCAGAGAAAGAGGAAGATCCTGGTCGAGATGGCCTGACAGTGACAATGGGCTCGCGAATACTGGAGATCATGAGGATGGCGCAGAACAGAGCTAGGTTCAGATCTGTTATTCACAGGGTCACTGTGAGTTGTAGTTGACTGTGGCACCAAACAACAACTACTCTCCAAAAGATAGCAATTGAATAGGAGCAACAGATATGTGAGTGGAATTTAAGTGCCAGGCAAGCCCACTAGAGATATAAAGCAGGGAAGGTTCATCAGGCCAGGGCTAGGAAGAGCCTTTCTTATGGAAGAGGAAGTGTGGGTGACAGTGGTCTAGGAGGTGCAAAGATGGCTCAAGGCAGGTGGTATTTCAACTGGGGGCACAAACATGGGCAAAAAGATGTAAAAAGTACACAGTTGTGACGTTGTGATTTCTTAAAGCTCATTGTGGCACTCAGGAGTTCTCTTGGACTTGACTTTGTTACTCCTCCAGGTATGCGCTTGACCAGAGCCACGGTGGGTTGGAGCACCCCCACCCCCCGAGACTTCTGAGCAGGGGAGTGGCAAAACCGGAGCTGTGCATTAGGATGATGAGTAAAGCTCATTGTTATAAAGCAATGTCAGCTTCCAGAAAATGAGCTGTCTCATCTGCACGGGGGTGCCTCGGGACACCTGATGGTTTTTGTTTGGTCGTACTTGCCAGCTCTGCTGGTCACAGCAATCCTGGGAACAGTCATGACTGTCCTCAGATTCTTCTCAAACAGAACTTCTGCTCAGCATTTGGCCTTTTATTTGGCTCACAAGGCAGTTTTTCTATTCAAACAACTGCATCCAATTGTTACTCCAGGACTTGCCCATATCCTGGTTTTGTAATCCACAGATGGCAAACTCAGAGACCCATAAAGGACAAGGAGCAGGAGGGAACAGCATGACCTGCCTAGTGAACAAGTAACAACGCTGGCCCTGTAACAACGCTGGCCCTGGACCCAAGGGCTCTTACTGGGAACATCCAGCCCCTGTCCAATTTTGCAACATCCTCTTTGCTAAGAGGAGCCTAGGAGACTCCCTGAGTGCCTCTGCCTTGTATATTTTTCTACCTGGTGTTTTCTTTTTTCTCTATTTTAATTTTCCCTGTTATCTTTACTCTTCCCTTGGGCACTTATTTGTATTAAAACAAAGTTAAAAACCAGAATGAATATTTATTTCACTTTTGTTTCTTACAATTAAAAACTTTTCAACGTCCATTTTCTCTCTTTAATGTACTTTTTAATCCTCTGGGACATTTTCTCAGAAAGATTTTCTTTCTTAATGCAAGGAACTTCAAATTATTACTTTGCAAGACAGTCCTTAGGTACTTTTACAGTCTAATTTCTACTCTGCATTTGGCCTATGAAGAGACAAGTTTTTTACACAATAACCTATTTCAAACTGCATTTTTACTTCCAATTTTTTATTCCCAGATTTGTACTTATTCTGCTTTTAAAATTCCCAAATGGCAAACTCAAAACCTCTACACAGGACAAAAATGTAATTCAATATATTGGGCACAGCAGGAACTGCAAGCACAATGTTCATAACAATTCAAATTTAGATTTTAAAAAGACAAAGTAAAGAACAAGGCCAGCTCCCAGTTCCAGCCTTAAGAGCGTAGCTGGTATTACCAAAGAAGACATTCTGATGACCAATATATACACAACAAACCAACAGTGCTCAAGATCATTAGCTATTGTGTTGTTGTTGTTAGGTGCTGTCCACTAGACCTACTCATAGCAACCTGACAAAACAACAGATCTGAACCTCTTCATACCCTGAGCCATTCTCACAATCTCTGATAATGCTTGGGCCCACTGATACAGTCAATCCATCACGCTGACGCAAAGCAAACCAACAATGAGATACCATCTCACTCCAGCAACAGCACCATTCAATAACACAGCAAACAACAAATGATGGGGAGTGAGGAAGGTCATTGTAATTCGCATTCACTGCTGGTGGAAATATAAAATGGTGCAACTACTATGGAAAGAAATTTGATGTTTCCCTAGAGAGCTAGCAATAGAAATATGATTTGGTCCAGCAATTTCACTACTAGGTTTTCTGTTGTTGTTGATATCCCAAAGAAATAAGAGCTGTGGCACAAAAAGAGGTATGTGTGCCTATGTTCACTGCAGTATTATTTACTGCAATGTTGCAAAGAAATGAAAACAATCCAACTGTACAACAATGAATAGAGAACTATAGTTCTACATTTATATGGAACTACATTTGCACAATGCAACACAGAAAAAACATTAAGAATCCACAGAACACGGGATAACAGTGATGGCTCTGAAGGACATTACTCCAAGTGAAGTTACTCACTCATAAAAGGACAAATATCGTATAAGATCTGTTATAAAAAGCTAAAGAAAAGTTTACATACAGAATCATTTTTGGATGGTTACTAGGAGTGGAAAGGGAGGGAAGAGGTGTAAAATTTAGTAAACAGATAAAAGGCACATATTAAGGTGGGTGAAAGGAAGGATAATATGCTGGTATGACAACAATCTGGAACAAGTGGTGCATGGTAAGGTGGACTGGAGGAGAGGAGAGAGGGGGGGAGAATGTGCAACAGTGAATGAGTAAGAAAACAGCAAAACAAAACAAAGAACTTTCAAAATTATTAGTATATTTTATTGTGATTTTAACAAAAGATTACAGAAAAGTTGGATCTGTTGTCATACATATGATGCCTAATCATATATTCCTAGTTCTTTCCTTCGTCTGTTCCAATGCAGTGTTCATTATCCATCTACTCTTTTCGTAGGTTACCCTCAACCCCCACCCCCATGTCAGTTCTGTGTTATAACAGTGGTGTTAAACAGTATTTGTCCTTTCGTGATGAGCTATTTCACTCAGTATAATATTATCCAAGGTTAACCCTGTTCATTGTTTTTCCTGATATCCATTTTCAGACAGAGGAGGAAGAAAAGACCAAAATGGATGTCAGAAGAGACACTGAATATTGCACTAGAGCACCGAGAAACCAAAGCAGAGGGAAGAAATCAAGACCTTAAGGTGCTGAACATAAGATTTCAAAAGGTAGCGTGGGAAGACAAAGTAAAATATTATAAGGAAATGTGCAAAGACCTGGAGTTAGAAAACCAAAAGGGCCAAACTCTCTCAGCATTTCTTACACTCAAGGAATGAAATTCAAGCCTTGAGTTGCAATACCTAAGGATTTTGGGTGGAATATGAAATGATCCTGGAAGTATTAAAAGAAGATGGAAAGAGTATACAGAGTCATTATACCAAAAGAAACTGGCAGACTCAGAAGAATTTCATGAAACAACTTATAAGCAAGAGCAAACTGCTTTAAAACAATAGGCAAAAAATAAGGCCCTAGGAATTTATGATATACCAATTGATGTATTTCAACTAATAGATGCTGCCCTAGATGTGCTCACCAAGTTTTGCAAAGAAATCTGGAGGACAACCACTTTGCCGACTGAAAGAGATCTAGATTTGTTCCCATTCCAAAGAAAGGTGATCTGACAGAGTGGGGAAATTACTGAACAGTATCGTTAATATCACATGCAAGCAAGATTCTGCTGAAGATTATTCAAAAACAACTGGAGCAGCACATCAACAGAGAACTGCCAGAAGTACAGGCTGGCTTAAGAAGGGGTCATGGTACTAGGGATATTGTAGCTAATGTTAGATGGAGCTTGGATGAAAGCAGGGAATACTAGAGGAATGTCTATCTATGCTTCATTGATCATGCAAAGGCATTTGACTGTGTGGATCACAACAAAACTGGGCTGGCTTTGAGAAGAATGAGAATCCCAGAACACTTACTTGATTGTGCTAATGCGAAACCTGTATTTGGACCAGGAGGCAGCTGTCAGAACAGAGCAAAGAAACACTACATGGTTCAAAATTGGGAGGGGTGTATGCCACGGATGTGTCCTAGATCCCCATCTTTTCAATTTATATGCAGAACAGATTATCTGGGAGGCTGGGCTCAATGCTAGGGCAGTTGGGATAGTTGTGTTGGAGTCAGTGAGACTGGCTTAGGTAAGAGTAGCTTCAGAACTATTGTACACAGAGTTGCTATGAATTGCAGGCAACTTGACAGCACCTAACAACAACAACACCTCCTGATATACCCAAAGTATGTGAGACAAGGTTTTTCCACATTCTTTGAGAAACAGGTGTGTTATTAGGATAGTATTCTTTCTCTCTATCTACTCAATTTATACACTGAGCAAATTATTTCAGAAGCTGGACTCTATGAAGAAGAATGTGGCATCAAGAAAGATTCATCAGCAATAATACAGATGACACAACCTTACTTGCTGAGAGCAAGTAGGATTTGAAACACTTGCTGTAGAAAATAAAAGACTGAAGCCATCCACTTCTGAAACAATAGTCCTCTAAAAACCCTATATAGCTCTGCCAGGGAAGGAGGGACAATCTCCTCCTGTACCAGTCAGATCTGATTTGATGGTACACTCACACAAAAATAATACAATAAAAACAAAACAAAACAAAACAAAACAAAAAACCCTATACAGAATTCCTAGAGAGGAATGTGGTTAATGATACAGAATTAGACGTAGCGGCCAGATTGGAAGTCAAACAAAATGAGGAGAAACAACTACAAACATCCTTTAGCAGCTGGAACATGGAATGTATGAATGTTGGAAAATGAGAACTTGTGAAAAATGAAACAGAACACATTAACATTGTCATTCTAGGCATTAGTGAGATGAGATGGACTTGGCTTTGGCTACTCTGAATCAGACAATCACATGGTATACCATGTTGGGAATGAAAAACAGAAAAAAATGGTGTTGAATTCATAGTTAAAAAGACAATTTCAACTTCTAAAGTACAAGGTTATGATTAATAGGATATTATCCATGTGCATACAAGAAAGACCTGTTAATATGACTATTATTCAAGAATATACAGGAAAAGCTAAAGATTAGGAAAGTGAAGATTATTACAAAATTTTGCAGCCTGAAATTGACCAGACATGCAATCAAGATGTGTTAATGAAAAAAAAAATGTGTTAACGACTGGAGACTGGAATGCAAAAATTTCAAACAGTGAAGAAGGAATGGTAGTTGGAAAGTATGGACTTGGGAACAGATGAGGCTGGAAATAGAATGACTGAATTTTTTATGTTCAATGATATATTAAAATATCTTTTTGAAACTTTTTAAGTCAACTAGTATAAAATACAAAATAAAAAAAAATACCTTTCTGAAAAAACACAAATGGCACTTTTACTTATAGACCTCACCAGATAGACTGCATAAGAATCAGACTGACTACATTTGTGGAAGGAATTGTTGGAGGAGCTCAGTATTAGCAGTCAAAACCAGGCCAGGTGCTGACTGTGGAACAGAACATCGTGGCTAGAAAGGCCATAATAAAGCAATCCATCGTATTTTAGCAGTGCTTGAAAGCTGTATCATGAAGGATAATGAAGTCTGTTAGCCAAATGGTAGAAAAATGAGAATATCTTGCTTCTTCCCAAAAAATCGTATCTGAGTTGCAAATGATAACAATTACTTAAGAACTTTCTGTCAAAACATTAAATAATTGAAAATAATCTCTTTGCCCATTTCTTCCCAGTTTAACTACTATTTGGAATTTTCTCTTTGAAATTTTGTTAGTCAGCAGGCAGAGTAGATAGGGAAGTTATCTTAAGAAAAACGACTTCAGTGAAAATGAAAGCAAACAAAATCCAAGGCTCACCTCTGACTCCTCTCAGGAATGTCCAGCACAAACCCAAACATCATCTCCGCAATCTTATTGGAGCTGCAGGTGGGGGTTCTGTCCACCTCCACGGCTATGGACAGCATCCTCTGCAGCTGGCAGACAATCCTGAGCACAGAACACAGACACAGGTGAGCAACACGGGCTGGTGGTCAGCCACCTGGGGGCTGGAGAAGGTGCCTACGGGTCCTCGTTGAGGACAGAGGCTATGAAGGAGGTCTTGCTAAGTCAGGCACTACAGGCCAGGGAGAAGTACTGAAGTCAAAAGAACACTTTTATTTATCACTTTCACCTACCGGAAGCCCTTCTGCCAGACTATACTGCATGTACTGCTCACTTGTAAATCCAAACAGAATCACAGTACTAAGGATTGAGAGAACTTTAAACATTATCTAATCTGCAAATTTCCTAATGTCTATGTGAAGAAACTGAGGGCCAGAGTGAATAAAAAGAATTTGAGTCAAGGGAAATACATATTTGATAGAGTTTGGGCTTGTTATTGGTTCCATCACAGAATTTTCTTCAGAACTTGCATGAGGGAGCCTGACCTTTGCCCATCAGAACCTAACTCTGGGGGAGAGCCAGGCTGTGGTGGCCAGTGAGTCTGAGAGATCCCATTTTTCATCAGGAATGTCAGTCTTTTATTTTTTCTTTTTCTACTAGTTTATTTACAAAATTCAAATACATTGTTTTCAAGAACAAATTTTTTTAATTTTAAACGAATTTATTTTTCTTAATTAATTTTTGGTAAAAATATTCACAGCAAACCCTATTTCTATTCCACCATTTCTAGCCATACTGATTGGTGGCATCAGTTACAGTCTTTGCACAGTGTGGACATTCTGGTTTCTGTTGTAGCGGTTTTACTTCCATTTACCTCCCTGCCCTAAACCTTCTCGTCTATTCTTTAAAACAGCTGCTGACTTATTGGTGGCAACCTTTTCTAACAAATACTTCATGTGAAGAAGAGATCCCATTTTCAGGAAATCTGCAGTTTCTTAAGGGCATAAGCGTTATATGAAAATCAGGTTGGTTCAACTACATTATAATGTAGTATCTTTTTAAGCACAAATGTTATGTTTGAAACAATATTTTCATATATCATATTTCAACACTTTGAGTGACAGGAGATAGTAGGGTACTTGTGCAATGGTAGCCCAAGAGCTTAAACTCTGAACATTCTTGGCTCCTAAATGGCGTGACTCTCTGCTGTGCAGCCTGACCTAAGGGTGGTCTGAGCCACTGCTGCTGTAAGGTATTTAGTACTTACAGGCTCAGTTGCTGTCATCCTTCCCTAGACAGGAAGAGACAGACCTATATTCTCGAATACTAGGGGCTGTAGAACACCCACTACCCAGCATTCTCTGTTGTCATTGGGCACCTTATGCACTAAGGCACTGTCAGCCTATTGTCTCTTGGAATCCAGAAAAGGGAGGGCAGGGTCTTCTAGCTTTTGCTTTCAAATGTATAGTAATTTTGTGAAACGTGTAGTAATTTTATGAAATCTTATTAATTTAGGAAGGAATGCACCTACTTTGTTTTTCATTTAAAGCTAAGAAATTTAGTCTTTAATCAAACTAGAATAACTTTTAATCAGGATCAATTTAAGATAGAAGAGCCTGTTAATTCTGGAGAAACAATGTCCTGAAGAAGTAGTGCTTATCTCTAAAACCTCAACCCCCAACAGCTCCTGTGGAAGACAAACATCTGCTCCTTACAGCTGCGTGGTGTTCTTTGTCAAGCTGGGTTGGGCATGAGCATGGCTACTGCTGGTTTTCAAGATTCTTGTGTCTGACGAGGTTTGATTTCCACTTGTGGGCTGAGTCAGTCCATATTCGGTTACTGCTCTGACCAGCCACTTGATCACATCTCTGCAATGGGGGAGAAAAAGAAAAGGACAAGTAAGAAACGGTTTAACCTTCTGATGTGTTACAGAGTGCTCAGAATTGCAGCCTTCACTTGAATTCCTGGACCCTTACATCACCTCTGAGGAGCCAATTTGCAATATTTAAACATTTCTAATGAAAACTCCCTGCTTAATTGTAATAAGGCTAAAGGTTAATGAAAATATTGAGTACTCTTTGAGTTACAATGACTGAAAGGATTAGGAAATTATTGAAATGATTGACTAGGATGAGGACAGGAAATACTGAGGTCGAGCAGGAGTGTGTGTGGCTTATGGAGCAGGAACATCTTTGGGTAGAAAGCTGGAGAGTATGGCCACCAAAGTCCTTGGCAGCTTCTTTGTTGTGGGGAGTTGTTTTCAACCCATTGTGTAATTAAAAAAAATTATTGGTTTACATGCAAAAATCACATGTTAGACTTACAATATATTACATTTACATACAAGATAATTTGCATACAAAAATCTTAAGTATTACAATCTATTACATTTATACAGTGTGCTTCATGCCTTCCTCAATTCACATTGCTTCATATTATCATTCTCATACATTGATATGCTACCAAGCCGAAGGTGGGTGACTTTAATCTGCGGCCCTCAGGCAGGGTTCAGATTGTTTTCCTGTCAGACATTCTTCTAGATGGTATAGCACTGGTCTGTGAGTTGCTGTAAAGAAGTAACTCGTGGTTGCTGTGATGCTGAACACTGTGACAGTGATGTGCCAAACGTGGTAATGGTTACCACGGTGGACAGTGTTGGCTGGAGCTTCCTGACTAAAACAAGCCTGGAAGCAGGAGCGGCATCCACTTCTGAAATGGCTTGCCTCCGGAAATTCTATGTACAAACAGTGTTCAGGCCTTTCGTTCATAGGGTCGTTATGAGTCGTCTATGACTTGAGGGTACCTAACAACAACAACAACAACAACAACATAAATTGTTGTATTTGATTTAATTAATCTCCATTGATCCACACCCACCATTACCCAAATTTTTCAGGTCCTCACTGGGTCTTTCCTTGTTGCTTTACTTCCTTGCTTTGCCCATGAAACTCTGGGACCTTGAGGTTTCCCCCTCTTCCCCTGCCTCAGCCTCCCTCCTGTCTCCTTTCCTCCTTTGGAGTGTTGTACACATCTTACCAGTTATCCTTCTATTTTTACAATAATGATCTTATGCAGTATTTGTCTTTATGAGATTGAGTTCACTCAGCATATTGCTCTCCAGCCTCTTCCATGTTATGTACTATTTTTCAAAATCATTGCTCCTATGTGCTGCATAGTATTCCATCATGTGAATGTACCACAATTTCTCAGTCCATTCGTTGGACATTTTTGCTTTTCCATATTCTTGCTATTGTGAATAACACTGCTATGAATATCAGGGTACAAATCTCCATTTGTGTCTTGGTTCTATTTTCCTTAGGGTATATTCCTAGCAGTGGCATAGCCAGGTCATAAAGACTTTCTGTGTTCAGCTTTTTGTGAAGTTGCAAAACTGACTTCTAGAGTGGTTGTACCATTTTATAATCCCACTTCTCCACATCCTCTCTAACATTTACTGCTTTCTGTCCTATTAATCTTTGCCACTGCTAGTTTTGATTTACATCTCTCTAATTATTTGGCAGCTTCTTAATATCATTGTTGTTAGGTGTCATCAAGTCACCTACCTCTCTATGCAACTCCATGAACAACAGGTCTGATACTTGCCCTATCTTGTGCCATTCTCAGGGTCTCTGATATCTTTGAGGCCATTATTAGAGACCTAGTGTCAAATCATCTTGTTGAGAGTCTTCCTCTTTTTCTCTGACCCTTCACCTTTGCAAGAATGATGTCTTGTCCCAAGGACTGGCACCACCTAACAACAACATGTCCAAAATATGTGAGAAAAAGTTAACACCATCCTTGCCTCTAAGGAGTACTCTGGTTGCAGCACATCCATCAAGACAGATTTATTCTTTTGGTAGTCTGTGGGATATTCAGTCCTCTTCTGTGACATCACAATTCAAAGGCATTAGTTCTTCTGTCATCTTTATTCATTACATAACTATCACATGCATAGGAAGTAACTGGAAAAAAGCATGACTTAGATAAGGCATAATACAGTCTTTACACTGACATCCTTGCTCTTTAGCACTTTGGACAGGTCTTTGACAGAAGATTTTCCTAAGGAATTGGCAGTCAAAGAAGAATTTCATGAAACAACACATGAGCAAGAGCCTATGGTGATGAAAGAAGTTCAGGCTGTTTTGAAGGAAATGGCAAAAAATAAGGCCCCAGGAATAGATGGTATACCAATTGATGTATTTCAGCTAACAGATGCTTGCCCTGGACATGCTCACCAAGTTGTGCCAAGAAATCTGGAGAACAACCACTTGGCCAACTGACTGGAAGAGATCTATATTTGTTCCCATTCGAAAGAAAGGTGACCCAACAGAGTGTGGAAACTATAGAACGATCTCATTGATTTCACATGCAAGCAAGATTCTACTGAAGATTATCCAAAAACAACTGGAACAGCACATCAGCAGAGAACTACCAGAAGTCCAGGCTGGGTTTAGAAGGGGTCGTGGTACTAGGGATATTGTAGCTGATGTTAGATGGATCTTAGCTGAAAGCAGGGAATACCAGAGGAATGTCTATTTGTGTTTCATTGATTATGCAAAGGCGTTTGAGTGGATCATAACAAACTGTGGCTGACTCCAAGAAGAATGGGAATCCCAGAACACTTCATCATGCTAATGAGAAACCTATACTTGGACCAGGGGGCAATCATCAGAAAAGAGCAAGGGAATACTACCTGATTCAAAATTGGGAAGGGTGTATGCCAGGGATGTGTCCTATCTCCATACCTTTCAACCTGTATGCAGAACAGATTATTCAGGAGGCTGGGCTCTATGAGGAGAAATGTGGGCTCAAGATTGGTGGAAGATTCATCCACAATCTGCGTTATGTAGATGACACAACCCTGTTTGCTGAAACTGAGGAGAACCTGAAGCGCCTGCTGCAGAGTGTCAAGGACTGCAGCCTACAATATGGATTGAGGCTCAATGTCAAGAAGACAAAGATTCTCACCACTGGACCAATTGGCAGCATCAGGATGGATGGTGAAGAGATAGAGATTGTACACAGCTTTAGTTTGCTTGGCTCCATACTCAACAGTCTTGGCACCAGCAGCCAGGAATTTAAAAGGCACATTGCCATGGGAAAGTCTGCTGTTAGGGACCTCTCCAAAGTACTGAAGAGCAGTGGTGTCTCTCTGGAGACTAAGGTGCGTCTGATACAGGCCATGGTCTTCGCAATCACCTGTTAATGCATTAGAATTGGACAATGACCAAGGAGGATAGAAGGAGAATTGATGCCTTTGAGCTGTGGTGCTGGAGAAGAGTATTGAAAATACCATGGACTGCTAGGAAAACAAACATATTCATCTGGAAAGGGTTAAGCCGGGTGGCTCCTTGGAGGCAAGGATTCTGAGGCTCCATCTAACATACTTTGGACATGTTGTGAGGAGAGACCAGTCCTTGGAGAAGGACATCATGTTTGGAAGGGTGGAGGGGCAGCGCAGGAGGGGAAGGCCCTCTATGAGGTGGATTGATTCAGTGACTGTGGTAATCGGGATGGGTGTGTTAGAGACAGTGCGCCTGGCACAGGACGGAGCAGAGTTTAGAGCTGTTGTACATAGGGTCACTTTGAGTCACAAGTGACTCGACAGCACATAACAACAAACAACAACAACGCATCTTTTGGTTTCTTTAAAAAATTTTTTTTAATTGTGATTTTAATGAAGGCTTACAGAAAGGTTGAATTTTCATCACTCATTGCTACACATTTTCCTTCTTCCCACTTCCTTCCTCCTCCTCTAGTCCATTTTGCAGTGTACCTCTTTTTCTAGATTGTTTTCATAAATATAATGCCAAATCATACATTACTTTCAGACATCTGTTCCCCTCATCTGTTTCAATGCAGTGTTTATTATCTATTCCTATTCTTCCCTCAATCCCCCATGTCAGTGATATTTTATAACAGCGGTGTTATGCAGCATTTGTCCTATTGTGACTGAGGTATTACACTCGGCATAATGTCTTCCAGGCTCACCCATGTCGTATAGTGTTTCATGAGGTCACTATTTTTCAATGCTTCATAATATTCCATTGTGTGACTCTAACACAGTTTATTATCCATTAATTTATTGATGGGCATCTGGGCTGCATCCATCTCTTTGCTATCATGAATAATGAAGCAGTAAACACAGTTGTGCATACATCTGTTTGAGTTGTGGCTCTGGCTTCTTTAGGGTATATTCCCATTAGTGGAAATGCTGAATCAATGGTATTTTTTTCAGGATGTAAAAATTTTTATTTGCATATTTAAAAAATTGTACATTCCAAGAATTGAAATCATGTGAACAACAACAAAAAATGTCACTCTGATTAAACTGCATTTAATACCCTCAGGACACCTTGGACAACCTTTGCTTTTTACCCTATATTTTCTCCACTGTCATCCCATCCAGCTCCTTTCTTCACCAGTATGCAAGGTCTTTTCCTTCCCTGCCAGCCATACAGGCTAACGGGAACAGCAGGCACCACCTTCAGCTGTCAGTAGTTCCATATTTTTGGATGTGAAAGAGGCAGCAGTCATTTAAACTTGATCCAATCTCTTTGCATCTTACAAAGTTAAATAGTTGGAAGAAGGGAATAAGAAGGCAGTGCTTGTGGTACCGTGCACATCGAGGGTGCCACCTCATTATTATTCATCTGTTTCTTTTCCTGTTCAATTGTTGGTTTTTAAAAAAATTTTTTTTCTCTACAAACTCTCTTATAAATGTACTGAAATTATGTTAATAATGAACAGAGCTCAGGTATTTTGTGCAAAGCTTACTCTGAGTCATATTCAACTCGACAACACTTAACCACTGCTAAATGAGACTTGTGCTGTTATATCTGGAGGAATATTCTTCTACTTCGCACAACTCTTTGTCAATGTGCTGTGTGAAGTAACCTGGATTTACTGTGCTGAACCTTGTGCCATGGGCCAAATACCAGAATGGTTTCCCATTGTGGACAGTGCTTGGTGGAGCTCCCATTGTAAAACAGGTTTGGAAGCAGGAGTGGCACCCACTTCCTAAACCACATGCCTCTGGAAACTCTATGAACTCAGAGAAATGATGGTATTATGGAAAGGCATTAGGTCTTTTGTTCATAGAGTCACTATGAGTTGACCTCGACTCGACGGCAATTAACAACAATAACAACTTTTTTTTCAATTGTTTCTTTTGAAGGCAGTGGATTTTTCTCTTGCACTTCTGTCTTCCTCAGACTGCCACCAAGTCACAAATGGTATTTCTATTTCCTACTTCTTGAGAAAGCACCAAACTGCCTTCCATAGTGGCTGTACCACTTCACATTCCCACCAGCAGTGAATAAGGGTCTCAATATTTCCACAACCTTGTCAGCATTTGTTGCTTGCTGTCCTGCTGAACTTTACTATTTATTGTTGCTGGGGTGAGTGAGATGATATCTCATTGCTGTTTTGACATCTTTTGATTTCTTGACTTCTGTTGCCATGGATGCTTGACTGTGGATCTACGTAAGATAACATAATGGACAACTTCAGTCTTTTCTTCATCTATCACAATGTTGTCTACTGGTCCAGTGGAGAGCACCTTTGTTTTCTTGATGTTGAAGTATAATACATATTGAAGGCTGTAGTTTTTGATTTTCTATAGCAAGTGTTTCAAGTCTTCTTCACTTTCTGCAAACAAAGTTGTATAATCTGTATAATGTAAGTTGTTGATGAGTCTTCCTTTAATTCTCATGCCACATTCTTCACAGAGTTCAGGTTCTTGAATGAATAGAGTAAGGATACAACCTTGACTTGTCTCATTAGTAGCAGAACCAGCCGGGGCAAACTTCATGGGTGGGACTGGAGTGCACGTTTACTCTAGCACTTATTCTGCACATCAGTCTTCAATGTAATGAAGCTGTAATTTATTCTGACTACCAGAGACACTATTTCTGAACTTCTTTTTGGTATGGTAGGAGTGACTGTGTATTTCTTTTCTTTTTTTAAATTTATTATTAATTTCGATGAAAATTTACAGAGACTTTGGGTTTCCATTCATTCACTGTTGCACTTGTGACTGTGTATTTCTAAGGGAGCTCTGGTGGCATAGTCTGCAGGGAGTTGTGCTGCCATCTCAAAGGGGGCACATGTTTGCTTCTTCGAATCCACCAGCAACTGCCCAGGAAAAAGATGGGCAATCTCCTCTGTGATTTACAACTCCTAAAAATCTGCCCCATTGTTCTCCCCCAGTGGCTGCCAGGGTCGAATGGCTGACCTGTAGTTAGCAAGTGAGCACTACTTACTCACTGTACCACCACTCAAATTGGCCCTGAAAGAATGTTCAAGCATGTTATGAACATGTTGTTGCTGTTGTTAAGTGCCGTTGAGTCGCAGGCGACTCATAGCGACCCTATGAAGGAGAGTCCTCGACGCTTGGGTGCCTTTCATCCTCTCCAGGTTCATAGGGTTTCCGGAGGCAAGCTATTACGGAAGTGGATGCCACTCCTCCTTCCACTGTATGAACATAGGGAAATACAAATTTAAGTGAAGAATTTCAAAGCTAAAGAAAGTATTAAGAAAGGGTGGTGTTATATTATGCTAGCAAGAGCCATTTCTAAAACCAGCAAGGTGTGTGGTTGTAAGTGGAAAACTCCAGCCTGAGATCTCCAGCCTAAAAATTACATTTTTTTTCCCTTGGTACAAGGACAGAATAGTTCTTTGGTCTTAAGTTTTCGGAAAGCTCTGATTCAAAGTCTATAAAGAGTGCATGATTACTTTTTATTGTTTATCTGGTGAGTCTATTGTAACACCACTATTCAGAAACTAAGAGGGAGATGTCAAAGTCTAAAACATATTTACCTTGAATTAATTCTGAGGAGTGAAAAGAAAGCTAGGTTCATAAAAACTGTAGAAACTTTTATATAAATTAAACTTGTCCACTTTGATACACCAAGTTGTATTCCACCAGAAATAAACCAAAGGAACGCTGGTGGTCTCGAAAGAAAGATTACTGAAATGACCGTGCCAAAGTATAGTTGGTGCAGAAAAGTAGGGTTTTTTGGTGGGACTATATACAATTTTAACTTGTTACACAATCTAGAGACTGGAAAATCTCCTCCATCTGACACTCTCTGCCTTCTGAAGAGAAACTGGACACACAGCTTCCACTCAGGAGCTGCCCACCAGGGTTCAGGTGGCTGCTTACCTGACATTATGAGGCTGCTTGTCACAGGACAGCACAGTGCTTGCTATGGACTGCTGAAGGTGCTGCCGTTGCCTCCTCAAGACCTGCTGGAAGTCATCTTCGAGCGTCTGTACTACGTAACGCAGAAAAAGGACTCGCCCTGGCAGATTCTGTCCCTGTAGGGAGAAAGAATAAGACGTTAGTTTTCTTTCTGGAGGAAGGTCAGTATGTATTAGCTTGCATAAATACTAAGTCCAAGAGAAGGCCACAAGTCAGCAAGTGTGGCTTGGCTGTACTTGAAAGAAAGGTCCTGGGAGAGTGTAGGCAGGCTGGGAGGTGATTGAAAAAGGGCAAGCTGGGTAATGGCTCAAAGACCCTGAAAGCTTGGAGTTCCTGGATATGAACGGTTAACATGTGAGTGGTTAATGTGTTTGGCTGCTAACCAAAATACTGGGTGGGGATGTGAGTCCATCCAGTGACATCCTGAGAAAGCCCTGGCTACCTCTGGAGGATCAGTCATGAAAAGCCCTCAGCACAATCTCTCTGACACACAGCCATGAGTTGGCATCAACTTGGTGGCAGCTGACTTGACCAGAGATTTTGAAGTAATTTTCTTTTCCTATTCCTTAATGTGTTTCCTATTCCCTAATCTCTCTCAGTGAGCAGCACTCCCTGTCCCTCAATCATAAGAAGCTCTCCACAACTAGTAAGATACAAGAAGTCCAAAATAAATTACTTCAAAGATACAGACTTCTGCAGATAATGAACATTTCCTAAGGGACCTATTACCACCAGAAAGGAAAAAAAAAAGAGCCAAGAGTGGAAGGCATACTTTGGGAGGTCCCTACACTGGGAGACTCCTAGAACCAGGAGACCCAGGGAGAGAAGCCTCCTGTTGGAGCTGGAGCACCGATTCCAGACTTCTTAGCCACTTGTCTGTCAGTTTACCATATTGTGGTTGCTTATGTGTTGCTGTGATGACAAAAGCTTTGCACACCAGATTCCAAATACTGCAGGGTCACCCATGATGAACAAATTTCAGGAGATCTTCCAGATTATAGAAAAACAGGAAGAATGGTTAGCTATCTATTCTCAAATAATTGGCCTGCAAAAACTTTGTGGATACAATCAAATGGATTGAGAAATTGTGGTACATTCACATAATGGAACACTACGCAGCACACAAGAGCAATGATTTTGTAAATCACTGCCAAATTTGGGAAGGACTGGAGAGCATTATGCTAAGTGAACTAACTCAGTCCCATAAGGACAAATACAGTAAGAGACCATTATTGTAGAACATGTATGAGGATCTAAGGGGGAGAGGGTGGGAGTAGAGGGGTGAGGATGGCTGGGGGTGGGGTGTGGTTACTCATAGGACTGCACAATTTGATAGGGGTGGGTAAAGGAAATGGGAAAGATCTGGTGTGAAAAGCAATGTATGTGAAAAACGTAAGTAAACCAGTTATTGTTGTTGTTATGTGCTATCAAGTTGCCTGAGAGTCATAGCGACACTACGTACAGCAGCTCTGAACCCTGCTTTATGCTGTGCCAATTTGATTGTCTCTGACACACCCATCCCCATTACCCCAGTCACTGAATCAATCCATCTCATCAAGGGTCTTCCTCTCCTGCACTGTCCCTCCACCCTCCCAAGCATGATGACCCTCTCCAAGGACTGGTCCCTCATTGCAACATGTACAAAGTATGTCATACAGAACCTCAGAATTCTTGCCTCCATGGAGCAGCCTGGTTTCACCCTCTAGGAACCTGTTTGTTCTCCTAGAAGTCCATGTACTTTATTTTAAATTAAAAAACCAACACAGCTTTGTGGATAGTAACACAGCACTGTCTGATACACTGCTGGAGCATGAGCTGCTCAGGCGAAGGCATGCAAAATATGATGAGGGAAGAGCTGCTGCCTCAAGGAGAGTTGACGTTGATGACATGGACAGGGTAAAGCTTTCTGTGCCTTCATCTGCTGATATGACATGACTCCAAATGAGAAGGAACAGATAATGCACTAATTGGAACATGAAATACAAATCTAGGAAAATGGGAAGCTTAGGAAAAAGGAAATGGAACTTAAAAAAGATCAATACTCTAGGTATTAGTGAGCTGAAATGGAGCTGTACTGGCTATTTTTAACAGGAGAGTCACAGGATCTATTATTTTTTTTCCCCCCGAATTAACAAAGTTTATTTCGAGTTCGAACCCGGGCTCCCGCGTGCTGACACGGCAGCATCCACCCGAGAGCCGGATCTATTATTTTTGGGAATGAAAAAATAAAGAAAAATGTCATCCTACTATCATGAAGTTCAATGCTGCACGGTGTAGCATAACATACATATACATACAAAGAGGATCTGTTATGACCCTTATTTAAATTTATGCACCCCAACTGCAGCCAAAGGTGAAAAATCTGGGTCATTTTGACTGAGCAACTCTAGTGACAGGAGTTGAAGTAGTAGCAGCTCATCAGTAGTGTCCCATGTCCCTCCTCTTCCCTCCTCTCATGGACTTCTTGGGACCTTTTCACTCCACAGTCCCTTTCCCACCATGTTCCAAAAACAAGAGAAAATTCTTTGGAGAAGCCCAGCAAGAAGAAGAAGGACATGCAGGAAAAGGAAGGAATTCTGCCTGAGAGAGCAGAGGAGGCAAAGCTAATAATGGCCAAATATCTAAGCCTATGATGAAAACCTGGAGGCTCTGACTTCCTCATAAAGAGGCTCCAGAAGGGGCAGAAGTACTACATGCACAAAGCCAAGATGAAGGCTAACAGCTGTCAGCTGGTCCTATCTGTATCCCACAGAATCTGCCTCAGAGAAGTCCTCACTTGTCTGTCACCAGCTAGCTTACAGGGCTGCTTAGAGCTTCTGTTAGATCTTAAGAAATTGTTCCCTTTGGGCATCTTGTATTGACTTCTGCACCTTCCTGCTTTTGCAGTCCTGGTTAAGGTGGTAGCTCAGGGGTGGGCTGGAGAGGCAGATCCCCCTGTCTGGGAGTGCCCCAATGTATGGAGCCCCTTGAACTGAGAAGCAAGAACTTGAACTTATCTTGTTTTCTCTTTTTTCCCCAATAATTGTTGGAAGAAAATGAAATTTTGAAGGTGGAGTTGAGAGAATGGAGGCTTGAGAGATGTGAATTAGGTATTGGAGTTAAGACAAAATTCCTCACTATCTTCCCTCTTAACCATGTGGCTGGTGTAGAGTAAGTATCAGGGAGAGGAAAAAGGGTGGACTAAAGATGAGAGGTTTCAATTTAGCTCTGTAGGAAATGCCTTGTTTGCTGGGATGTGGCTGGGGTCCTGGTATAAGAGGAAAGAAACTGTCCATCTGGATAGGAGAGATGCAAACAGCTCCTCTGGTTCTGCAGAGAAAGCTGAGACTCAAGGTTAACTTGTTCATGAAAACACACTGTCCTCTTGAATCAGATTTGCTTTGGAGAGGGCAGCCAGTTCAGTGAACCCTACAGAACCCAAGGGCCTTTTTCAGTATTTGAAGGAAAAAAGGATAAGATGAAGAAATTGAAGACTATTATCTTCTGCAGTCTCGAATTTATCAAGTATGCACTCAAGATGTATTGATAATTATTGGAGATTGGAATTAAAAACTTGGGTACTGCATCTAACATGATACAGCTGCACCAACAACTGACAGCTGATAAATGACATTTGACAACCAACAACTTCAGGATGCAGGCTCCTGACCAATCTCTGTTCACCAACCTCTGTGACCACATGCATCGTCCTACGCCACCCACAACTATGACTGTGAACCCTATGGTTCTTCCTCCTCCCCTCACCCTAGTTTCTGTGAAACCTTCCAGCAAATCACAGAAACCAAAGGCATAGATCAGAGTGGAAGGTCTGAAGGGAGGAGGAATAATTAACATCAGATATAATGAAGGGCTACAGAAGATTAGAGATTTAGAACATTGCCAACCTTCACCTTCTAGGAACTAGTCTTGTTTGAATCATTGTATAAGAAATTATTCATGCAATTGTCTTTTGGTTCTGTGATTAAGTTGCTGGAAAATAGTAACTTAGTAGTAGAAATGATGCTGGAGGATGCATGACAGATTTTTTTTATGCTCAATGACTTATTCATTGAAAATACCTTTCTTCAGCAACATAAACAGCAACTACACATGTGGACCTCACTGGATGGAACACACAGGAATCCAGCCGACTATATCTGTGGAGAAAGATGATGGAGAAGCTCAATATTTTCAGTCAGAACAAGGATAGAGGCTGACTGTGTAATGGACCATCAAGTGCTCATATGTAAATCCATGTTGAAGGTGAAGAAAATGAAAACAAATCCACAAAATTCAACCTATGATCGTGAGTACATCTCAGTTGAATTTAGAGATCATGTCAAGAGTAGATTTGACACACAGAGCACTTAATGACCTAGACAAGTTGTGGGATTCCATCAAGTACATCATAGAAGAAAAAGGTAAAAGGTCATTAAGAAGATAGGAATAAAAAGATAAGACTAAAGGCATAGTAGAAGAAGTCTGGTGTAGAATGTAGTGAAGCTAAAGTTAAGGGAAGAAATGATAAGAGAGCTAGATGGCTCCAGAAGATAACATATTGCATGGAAGAGCTTGCTTGGCATTTCTCTAGTTGAAAACTCAAAAAACTCATTGTCATCAAGTCAGAACCAACTCACAGCTGACTTTCCAGTGGGTTTTTCAGAGGCTATATATCCCCTACAGAACAATCTCACTGATTTCACATGCAAGCAAGATTTTACTGAAGATTATCCAAAAACGACTGGAACAGCACATCAACAGAGAACT